CCCATAAGTTGCTTGCATCTCAGTACATTTCAGGAGAAGAGGTTTTTGTTTTTGGGTTTTGGGTTTTCTTTTGCTGAATGTATTAATTTTGTAAATGCATGAAGCAGGAAATTATAGACGTTAATGTAACAGTGACACCTTGTGGTCAGTAGTGATGGAGTTTACTTTGAACAGTATTGTTTTCTTCTGTGATGCCCTTTAGCAAGCACAGAGAGAAAAAGAAGCAACAAAGAAATGCAATTGGCTTTCAGGGTTTCCACAAAAAGAGATGATGTCCCATTTTACTGCTTTACATGTAAAAATATATACTTTCAATTGCTCAGTTACTTAAATAGTACTTGTTTGTATGCTTTTGCCATATTGAAATAAAATGGCAAACCTTGATTTTAGATAACTTGGCGATATAACTCGTGGAATGGTCTCACAGCCACCTTACAAAGTGTTTACTGGAATAGTTATTTAAATTTCTGTGGTAATCCATACCTCTACAGGAGAGATGCCAGAAGAAGGGTTTCTCCCTGAGGGTAAACTACATGGTGATGGGTAACAAACTGTTGCCACAGAGACACGATGATATGACGGTGCCACACTGTGTCAAGAGTGACAGTTAGGCACTGACAGGGCTGCAAGATTGGGCAATATGACTTATTAATCTTGTGGCAGCCTCTATGTGGACAGTCTTTGACTTAATGTGTGCTGCTCTTCCTTGCACTTCTTCCTCTCTTCCTTCCTTGTGCAAATGCTGAACTGATATAGCAGTATGTTGTTATATCTAAATGCACCTGACTTTAAGGCACTGTGATACTGAACTTCACAATGCTGTGATCCCTAAAGTTTCTAGGATAACAGACCTGTTCCTATTTTGTGCATATACAGTAGCATACCTGGGATACAGCTTCCTACCTAGACCTCCTGGATACTTCATAAGTGCAAATGATAAAAAAAATGAGTAAGACAAAAGAATCTAGAATATAGGTTTCAAAATCTCGTAGTTAAAAAAAAATCTTAATCTATATGAAACCTTGTTTATAGTTTCTGATTTATAGGCTAAGCATGCCTGTAGTTAATGATGCTGAACTGGCCGTTTTTAAGAGGGAAACGAAGTTACATTTCTGTCAGATGAAACTACGCTTAAGATGAGTAAAGAAGCAGTCTGATTGTCCCAACAAGAAGTTAAGGGGAGGCAGTAAACCAAACTGAGAAACATGAAGCATTTATTATTCACTGGCAATAATGGTTTCCTGTTAAAATTGACTATTATTATTTGACAAAAAACGATGAATTTAGTTCCTTGCTCTCTCATTGGGAAATTAGGAAGTTAACATGGGACAGCAGCAAAAAGTCTTCTGCCTTCTCCAGAGAGTAAGCTAAAGCCAGCCAAAGCTAAAGTTTGGAAGGTGTTCAGAAAGCACTATCAGGGATTTAGTCACTATCAAACCTCTGCAAGTGTCAGAAGAGACTGGAGCACTTAAGTTGTCCTGGAAGCCAAGCTATCGTTTACCCACACACATCACCATAGGTAAGCAGCTCAGTGAGTGCTTGTCTTGGACATGTCCTATGAAATAGCTGCAGTGTGGATTCTCATGAATCTCAACGTAATTTAGTGCCTGTCAGAAAGTGACAATGAGACTGCAGGCTTTTTAAGGATCTCATATGGACAGTGAATGTTTTGCGAGCTCAGACTGCTGAAAGGCTTGAAACTCATTATCTCCCCTAAAAGCCTGACAAGTATTGTGCATGTAATGGAGTCCGAGGCCTTGTTTCACGCTCTCCCTTGATTTCTAGCTCTTCCTTTAGAGTCGATTATGCTTTTCAAGGGCTGTAAAAGCAAACAGATTCATAGCTGCTCAAACTTTCAGAGACGTTATTTATTAGGTGCGAGTTCAGACTCTATGCTGGGACAAGCTAGGCTGTAATATTAACCCTAAAATTAGTTAGTAGTGCTGCTGAAGAATGTTTTCAAATATCTGTTCTTAGTGTTGTAAGAATAAAGCTTGGAGTATGGATTATTTAAGGACTTTTTGAACAGGGCCACGCTGGAGATGAACTGCTGTGATTCCACACATGAATCAGAAAAGGCACTGTATTCGCTTGTCACTGAAAGAAGGACCTCATGCAAGAGGGACCTGAGCCTGTGCTGATATAGCAGTATATAACAGTAGACTTATTAGCAGAACTGTTGTAAAGAGAACTTTTAAGCACAATATCTTAAAAGTAAAGAGGCATCCACTCATTACATATTAAGAGCGTTGATTTCAAGATATGTCAGATTTGGAGGTTAGTCTGAGCTGCTGTATATAGCACCATGAATGTTATTACTACTCCCACTGCTTAGCCAGCAGAAGGCATCACATTAATGCTCTTGCATCCACATAGGGAAAATTGGCTGAGCTTGTTCCAGCTTCCAGTGAAGGCAGTTTGAATTAATTCAGATGAGGCTGCCTGAGAATGTTAGGTTTGCTTTGACAAAGATGTGTACTTCATGTTATTTTTATGTTGCCTCCATTGCTGTGAGACCCAGTACCCCACCAGGTATTTGTGAACACTTTCAGTAGATACTAATAAGCAATATGTACTTCCATATTATAAGATTTCCATTCCAAATTCTCCCCAGCTTTCAACGGGCATACTTTTCTGCCTGTTTCCAGAAGCCAGTTTAATTGTCAGCAAATACAGCTTTCAGTTGATACTTTTCCCATTTTTGCACAAAGGCAAATGTTTCATGAGATAATTTACTAGCATTAGAAAGTGACTGCTTATGTGATACTGAAGCTGTTCCTTAGTCTGTTGACATGCCTTGGGAGTTTGACAACTGTGATGTACCTCAGCACACTGTCTATCTATAACTTTTATCCCCATGTAAAAGTTAATGAAAATGAGTGTATCAAGGAGAATGCTCCCTGTTTAGTGGTTATGCCATAGTCTGCCAGCTGGATGGAAACTCATGAAGGACGTGAAGTCCTTCTTTTCCTTTTTGAAACACTCATTTCTGATGGAAATTGTCATTTCTGATGGAAGTCTGAAAAATCTAATTGGAAGAGCAGATTTGATAGTGGGATGCATGCTTATATTGTACCAGCACATCTACACATTACTCTCCCTTATTTCTTCACCAGATCTTTTTCTGTAGCCAGAGTGTTTTCAGTAAGAGGCCTTAGGTGTGTTTCTGCAGAGATGCTTGCAAGCCCGACAGCTGCCATTTTGCACTCGAAGCAATGACTTCCAGAATAAATGCATGAGTCTTAGCAGCTAGGGCAAAGGAGACAGAATTTCTAGTCGAAATCTATCATGAATTCATATCCTTTGTGTATTGACGCAGATGTGTTGTATGACACATGTTCTGACCAGTGGGTTACACAAACAAAGTGTGTGACAAGTGGCTGAAATGTGAAACATGTACTTTGGTGATTCACTCCATAATTCACAGATTAGTGTACTTTTAAGTACAATATACCCACTTAAAGAGCCTCATTGTGTGAACAATAGGAAACAGTACTGCCTTGCCTGTCACAGTTATGCACTTTATCTCCTTTGAGATCATTATTAGAGCTACCTATCTTAAGACAATTTTCCCTGTTTTAGAGCAGGACCTGGGAAAACACTTCTTTGTGCTGCTCTTGCTGTTAGCCTCCAAAACTGCTGGAACTTTAAGCAGCCTATAAGACCGATGATAAGACTATGGAAAGCACTGTTAAAACAAGAAGCAAATGCAACAAAGCCTTAGGGAAGATTATTTCAAAACTAAAAAAACAAAACAAAACAAACTACACATATAAAGTGAGTCTGATGGGCATATTTGGAAAGGGGGCTTAGCAACTGCAACATGCAGCACATCATAATCTTTTGGCTACCTTGCCAGCTGGTTGTATTCATGGCTGTGAGAAAGAAACTCAGGCTCCCAGTTGAACATACGGGAACAGTTAGGTTCCTCAGAATGAAAGCAACAGAAATCAGCTTGCTCTGCAGTGAGGTCTCTAAACTAATCTGTTGGTCAGTTGTTTTTCCAAGCCCTAATTTAAATGAGCAGGCTTAACATTGCACATCAAGAATTCCCTTAAAAATATTCAAAGTGAAGATTAGAACCTATGTCCATAGAGAACTTACATGATATCCAAGCTATCAGTTATTCCAAGCACCTTCAAAACTGGAGCCTTTGGCCACTTCTCCAAGACTGTGCCAGGAAGTTTATTTCTGGGGGACTGGATCTCCTCTAGATTGGTGACTACTAAAAGCAAAGGGCCAAACTCACCAGAATAAAGTTCTTTAAACCTTTTTTCCGGTTAATTTGAACTCATAAACTCTTTAACAGATGTGTCAAAATATAATTCTTCCTTAAACTGTAGTGTTTAACTTGAGTGAAAATATCTTGCAGTCTCCCCCTAAAGCTAGAAAAAAAAACTTCCGCAAAATTATTTACATACTGGTTTCACAACCTCTAATAAAGAGGAAACGCAAAGAAAATCAGAAGAAAGAAAATGTTAAGAGGGACTTTCTTCATGGAAGGATAGCCGTTAATATAAAACACATTTTAGAGGATAGATGTCCCAAAATCTTTTGAAAGACACAGTCAGATGCTAATATTAAGACGTCCATCTTACAAATGCTTATACATATGCTTAAAATTACACATTTGAATAAACACATTGATTGTGTTTGGTTGTGTGTAAGCCTTTGCAGGATTAGATGCAGGCTACTTAAAAACAACATATAGGGACATAGAGAGAAAGCATATAACTGTGTTTCATTCTAAAACAGCATTATCTTGTCTGCCAAAATCCAATGAATTGGGTCATTGGTTCTCTGTTCCATTTCCTGTGTTTGAAGAGTCTTACCTTAAAAAGATGTCAGGACTAAGGCCATTATAGGGAATTTCCACTGAGGAACATGTCCATTTGTGGAGAAATATGCATTTTATTTATGGTAACTAGCATAGTCTAATATTTATGAATAATAAATAATAATCTTTGGTGATATTGCATTTTTGTGCTATTATTTTCCAGATGGGAGTTGCTGTTGTGGATTCATCTGTTGCAGGACTGGGTGGTTGTCCCTATGCAAAAGGTGCTACTGGAAACGTGGCCACAGAGGATGTGATATACATGCTTAATGGTTTGGGGATCAATACAGTAAGACATCCTCACTTTCTACTTTTTGAAACTTTAAGAGAAAAAAAGTATTTTTCTACAAAACATAGGATTCATACAACTGACAATCGCTTGTGATGTACAGTAAGTTTTGCCAGCTCAGTGGTTTAACAATGCTTGACAGATAACATGACTAATGTTTTCTACACTAGCAATTTAGAGCAAAACTAATTTGACTATTTGATGGGAATTTGAATTAACCCTCTCTCTCCGTTGCTAGAGATATGATGAACTCAGTAGCAATTGCTTTCAGTCAATGTGCTGCCTCAGTCACCACAAAAAGTCGCTAGTGTAGACATTGCCCCAGAAGGCTAATACTCTCTTCAGTGGAAAGATAAAGGGGATCCCTGCTTTGGACAGAGGGGATCACAGAGCTTTAGATTTGGTTCATAGTGCTTATTAATATTTTGTTAAATTTTTCTATCTTCAAAGTAAGGACAGTGGCTTTTGGAGCCAAAGCACAGGACGGTGCTATTTGTCACATACCCGCTTAATATCTTTCAATATTGTAAAAAATTATTATTGCCTAGAACAGTGGTGCTGACTTCTGCAAGCTTCCAAATCGTTTTCATTTCCAACCCTGTTCTTGGAGGAGAAGCCAAGGCAATTAATCTGCCTGAGCTGCACTTAATGAACCTTACCAATGAGCCTCCTCCTTTCAGCAGCACAAATCTAGTATCCCTGCTTTGGTTAGCACGTTAATTATTCAGTATTCCTGGGAATCTGGTAATGCTACCTCCTCCAATGGATGCGGTCTCTAGTCTTCCTGTTAGTCATCGTTGTTCTAGAAATGTGGCATAATGAGTTTTGACTAACTCAAGCAATGCAATGACTTTACATTTAACTTAGGCATTGATTTTGAGAGAATCAAGTTCAAAGGAGAATATGTAAAAAACTACCAAAAAAGGAACGTACCTGATTTGTATTTAAACTAGTGTAGGAAGAAATTTAAAAAACCTGGTTTCCAACATACAAAAAAATAAGTTACTGGGGAGCTGTCTATTACTTGCCGTTCAGTGTGGCAGGCATGTTAACAGTCTTCCTTGGCATAAAAGATCATAAAACTTGTCTCCAAATCGTACATCCCCTGCAAACTGTTAACTCGTATTCAGTACCTTACAGAGTGTAATGTAATGTTTATCTGCTTTCATGTGCTTCTTGGGGAGTTCTGGTTAGATGTCAGATAACTGTATAGGGAAAGTTTAATCACAAGTGCCCATTATACAAGTGGACTCTGTTTTGAACTGTTTGGAGGTGCTGAGGGGTTGCTTTTTCACAAATAACATGTTTATTCTTTTAAAATAACACAATTCTTTGGAATGAGGAGGAGAAATCATGCATTTCAGTTCACACTGTTCACATTGCTGTGCACCTTTGAGACTTAGGCTTTTAGTATACTCTTTCCTTGGGCAAAATACCCGTTGACTTTTCTAAGTGATTCCTAGCAAAAGGAATCAATTAGATAAAATGATACTGATTGATTAAATGAAATGTACCTGGTTCCAGGTTGGTTGATGAGATTTACTAAACTGTGAACAAACTGGTCTCCAGGCAATCTAACTGATCCTAAAGGCTGATACCAAACCCTGTGAAGATAAATGTCCGTTTCTCCACTGTCAAACATATTTAGTTCTCTCTGTTTTTCATTTTTAAATTATGCAACAGCAAAACACTTCACACTTCACAGCAATTGCTTCTTGACCCTTTTGTGTCCCATTAAGAAGAGATATTTTCCTGAATTTAGGTGTAGAGTCTCAAAATTATTATATTAATATATTAGGTTTGGTCTTGCCATGCTGATTCTTGTTGGTACCATGGTCAATTCTGTAATCATTATCAAAACCATCTGTTTATATGTTCCTTTTTGTATAATGGCACATATTGAAATTATAATTATTAATGCTGTCCCTTTCCAAGGAGCTGCTTCTTTTGTTCCTTTCAGCTATGCACTAAAGCTCTCATTTTTCAAGAAGTGGAGGTCTTACAGCTGAAGACTGAAGTCATTTAGAATGTCAGCCAAAGGATGGACAGCATTTAGGTGTTCATTATCATGGTCAGATTGACTGGATGTATCAAAATAATAATTAATGCTTGTTTTAGTGTTCTTCAGAAGGCGTAACCAAAAAGTGGCGTGTGACATTGTCTCTAGCAGGGTAGAGGTGAAGTGAATTTCTAGCAGAGTCCATCTACAAAGAGATTGATTTGTTGTACCATGGTAAATGAAGAGACAGTTATGTCATAGATCATTAATGCTTTTGAAAATTTGTAGGGAGATGTACTTCATATGAAGACAGTTTTCTATATGGTACCTATGCAACTACAGTAGTAGTACTTGTGGTTATGATGCCTTCAAAGTGCTTAGCAAACCATAAGCCTTTCTGAGAAACGACTATTAGCTTCGCATTACCATCAGCAAACCCAAAGTTCAGAGAGATAATAGACTTGGTATTTATGAATGCTGAATGAGAACTGATTAGTGGAAGTCAATGGGAGTTAAAGGATTTGCCTTCTTGCAGAAGCTGTTTCGTTTCTTACAGGGTTCTGAGTTAGGTCGCTTGTCTAAGATTAGAGACACTATTGGAGATACATGGAAATATATTTGCTTGTGTTTCATGGTATCAAAGAATAATTCTGAGTGTATGGAGTGTTTACCAAACACATTTAAGCACATTTTTGAGCATCTATCTGAAGACATATTGTTTTGACACAGGAATCTTACAAACATCTGTCACTATTTTCCCATCCCCATCTGTGAATCATGCTTGTAAATACTGGGTTGTGTGCCCTCATGGTAATCCTCTTTGGTTTCATGACACTTACATAAGAAAGAAAATTTAAATGGCAGAGATGCTTGTATTCCATTTAGTGAATATGAACTGTGAACATATGTTTCTTATCAACACATATCACATTATGCAGTGTTACAGTGCTGAAAATGTGAATTTTCTGTAGCTATTTTCTTTTTTATTTTGACATCTTCCATTACCTAACTACCAAGTATGTCTATGGTGGCATGCTTCTCATTTTGTCCTAGTAAAAAAGGATAGATGTTGTAAGAATTTTTTAGATGACATTATGAACAACAGTACTGTACAAACTAAAGCTCAGTAATGACCAATAAAGGATAAACAAAATGAGCTGAAATCACCCTTGTTATAACCCATCTGCAAAGATGTCAGAGTTATAAAAGGGTATATTTGAACAATATGTTTTAGATGGTGCTAATTACTAGAGCTGATCAGAAAGTTTGAAACATTTGTTTCAAATTAAAAATGTTGTTGATTCTGTTTCCGTGAAATAATTTCTATTCTCATTAGCATTTCTGCCTAGCCGTAAGGGTGAAAAAGGCAAAGATTGCTGCAGAACATGGAAATAAGTGCTAGATCCAATAAAGGGTTTAAGCATCTAAATCAGGTCTATGCACTACTAAACTGTAGTGCATAAATCCATAAGTGTTATGAAAGTGTATTTCCAGTGCAATACATCTCATATGCTTTAATACCCAGGGACACACTTCCCCCAGCTTTGTGTAACTGTCTGCTCAGTGTATTGACAGTTCAAAATCCCTTCTTTTGCATCCCTTCAGCAG